GAGGGGTGATGCCATGGCCCTCTACCCAGGGGGACAGCTTGAGGCTCCTGACTCAAAAAAAAAAACAACCTAATTTCCCAGGATAATGACCAGGGAAGCTGATAAATAAGAGGTTCAACGGGGCAGACAGAAAGAAAAAGAAAGTTTAGAATGGACGTTAAAGTCAATAAAGGAAAAGACTAAACACAGGGCTCTCTAAGCCAAACTATAAATACTTTGGCCATGTACTTTAAGTCACATAATTTAAGGTAACAATAACAATCACAGCAACAAAAATGTTAATAAGAGATTACTGTATACCAGGCACTTTTCTAAAATATTCTTTCAACAAAAAGATATTATATTATTGCCATTTAACAGATGACAAAACTAAAATATTAACACCGATATAATTTGTCAAAGGACATACAAGCAATAAGAGGCAGAACTAAAATCTGACCCAGAAATCTAGCTGCAGATCTTGAGCTTAATCTTAAGCATTTACATTAATACAAGAAAAATCAGTAGGCTCGGCTCCCATAGCACAGTGGTTATGGCGCCAGCCACACACACTGAAGTGGGTGGGTTCAAACCAAGCCCAGGCCAGCTAACCAGCAATAACAACTGCAAAAGAAAATAGCTGGGCGTTGTGGCAGACGCCTGTAGTCCCAGCTACTTGGGAGTCTGAGGCAAGAGAACCCCTTAAGCCCAAGAGTTTGAGGTCGCTGTGAGCTGTGATGCCACAGCACTCTACTCAGGGCAACATAGTGAGACTGTGTCTCAATAAACAAACAAACAACAACAACAAAAAAAAAACCCAGTAAATAAAAACCAAGAAAAAAATCTAAATCATAATACATAACCTGAGGCCTGGTTTAAAGAATCTTGTGATTTTCTAAATTTTATTTGAAAAGTACTTTTACCTATTTGAATGCCCTGTTTACAAAGGCAATCCAGTTAGATAAGACACGTGTAAAAAAATAGGTATAATACAGCTGATATACATAAATGATAATGACTGTTTCAAGTGGGAAGAAAAAAACGTATGTACCAGTGCATTTTTATTCCCAATCTCTCCCAAAAGTTACTTCATCAATGGCTTCCTAATAATTACAGATTTTCATTCTCCTTTTATACAAGAAATGTCCATAATATTCAAAGCTAATAATTTTTCAAATTACCCAAAAGGCAGTTTTTTACAAATCAATTTTAATATTGTACCTCTGACCTGTCAGGTAAATTATGTTTTCAAATATACCTATAAAATAAATACATACATAAGTCTATATGTAGAACAATGTCTCAATTTGCTAGCAGTTTTAGTTTTAAGTTGGTCAGTCATATAAAACAACACAATGCATGTGCCTTTAGAAAGATACTTTTTTTAAAAAATCAAAGAAACTCACCAGTTTTTTTTAAAATCCCAAGAACTTGTATTAGAAGATCTGGATGATTCATCTAAAAAAATTTCGAATTAAATTCATCTTAAAAAATTTCAAATTAAATCAATAAGCTAATTTTAAAGTTCAAGTAGCACCAAAACATTAGGGAGAACTCAAATTTCATGTTAAAGAATAACATTTAAATAAAATCATGCTCTATACTACAATAAAAGTGGAATAGTGTTCTACTTTTATATCAACAATTCCTGTTCACAGAAGTAGAATCTAAGGCCGGGGACAGTGGTTCACACCTGTAATCCCATCACTCTGGGAGGCCGAGACAGGTAGACTGCCTAAACTCACAGTTTCAAGACCAGCCTGAGCCAGAGCAAGATTCCACCTCTAAAAATAGCCAGGTGTTGTGGCAACCCTGTAGTCCCAGCTACTCAGGAGGCTGAGGCAAGAGAACTGCTTGAGCCTAAGAGTTTGAGGTTGCTGTGAGCTATGACATCACGGCAGTCTACCAAGGGCAACAAAGTAAGACTATCTCAAAAAAAAAAAAAAAAGTAGAATCTAATGAATGACGTATCACTATTATTCCAGCAACATTCCTAAAATTATTGGGTCTTATGGAAAGGTTCTGAAGTTTCACAGTAAAACTAATGGAAAAGAAGTTGTGATAAAAATTTTAAGGGATATATATACACAACTGGTAACTTGGCCTAAACATTTAGACAAAATACTACTTTTACCTAACAAGCTTGTCAAACGTTTAAAGTGTACTTTGCAGCTATTTTATTTAATTGATTTAATAATCACCCAAATTCAATCTCCTTGAACATAAACATATTATACAACAAATTTTAAATATTAACTATTTTAAAATTTTAATATATCAATAAATAAGCAATGCTAGCAGTGCTAAACAATTGTTACTATTGCTAATGAAACTAGCTACTACTTATTAAAACTACCCATGGGGGCAGCACCTGTGGCTCAGAAAGGTAGTGCGCTGGCCCCATATGCCAGAGGTGGCGGGTTCAAACCCAGCCCAGCCCTGGCTTAAAAAAATAAATAAATAAAGTTTCTTAAAAAAAAAAAAAACAAAAACAAAAAACTACCCATCATGTAACAGGTACTATATTAAAATACCTGGCATTATCATCTCATTTAATATAAAAGTTATTATCCCTAATTTGGAGATAAGGAATCCAAAGCTCAAAAAGATCACGAAACTTGCTCCTCCCAGCCAAAATCTGAACCCTGATGTCTGACTTCAAACCTCTTTCCACTTTCTATACTACACAGCAGAATTAATAACTACACAATATGCTCAGACACAAGTACTTTTCCCTTACAACTCCCTTCCTCTTCTTCCTTTTATCCCGTTCCTTTCTTTTACACAGTCTATGTCTGAAAGCTAATAGTAATTTACAAAAGCATTATTTAGCACGATAGTAACACTCTACAAACCATAGTTTTATATTCCACTACAACTCTTCTCTAAAAAGATAAATCTATAAAAATTACTAAGTACTAGTTAAATACCATACAGGAAAGGTTCTCTTCTATTTACTTACCTTGGGAGGAAACTTTATATCTATATTAACATCACTACTTTTCAAAGCAAACTTACTCAGGGATGAGCCATACAACCTAAGTGAACATTCTGGAATAAAAGAAAAACATCAAAAAGTGAAATGGAGTGCAAATATGAGAACTTTAAAATATATATATATTTCAATCTGTATCTTTCCATTTCTAGTAAAACAATTATATAAGAATGACATTCATTCTAACTAATCTATGAAACAATAAAAATGTTTCCCAGTTTTGGGATATAGGAACAGAGAAGGGAGAGAGAAATTACTTATACCAGTTCAGTGTTTAAACAAAATTCTGTTAATAGTTCATATAGAAAGGACCCAGACTATGTTTATGTATTTTTTATTTTTTTATTTTTTTGAGACAAGAGTCTATGTTGCCCTCAGTACAATGCCATGGCGTCATAGCTCACAACAACCTCAAACTCTCAGGCTTAAGCAATTCTCTTGCCTCAGCCTCCCAAGCAGCTGGGACTACAGGCGCCCGCCACA